GAGGCCCTCGCGAGCGCCCCGAGGCGGCTCGAGACGGCCTCGGAGGCACCCAGGACGGCCCGAGGGGGCCCCCCAGAGGGGGATTCCAAGACGGCCCAAGGGGCCCCCACGAGGGCCCCAAGACGGCTCGAGACGGCCTCGGAGGCACCCAGGACGGCCCGAGGGGGCCCCCCAGGGGGCTCCCAAGACGGGCCAGCGGGGACCCCAGGAGGGCCCCGAGGCGGCGCCATGCAGCCCCAGGACGGCCCGAGCGGCCTGTGCGAGAGCCCACGCGGCGCCCCCGAAGAGTTCTCGGGGAGCCCGACAGGGCCCCAGAGTGGCCCAAGAGGACCCCGAGGGAGCCCCGATGTGGAGGCGAGAGACGAGGACCTCGCGAGCGAGGCGCGGCGGCGGGCGTGGCCCTCCACCCCGCGGTGTTCGGGGGAGGGCCGGACCACGGCTGCCTCCCGCCGGGCCCAGATCCGCCAAGAGTGGGACCTGGGATCCCTGTGGGGTCCACCTGGGTGACCTGGCTCTCGAGGCGGGTCCCGCCGCGGCGACGAGGAGCCCCCAAGGCGCCCGAAAAGAGCAGAGGGTGTCGGGGAGGGCCGCCGTCCCGACGGACCCTCCTCCGAGAAGCGGCGCGGTCTCTGCTTTGGCGCCGACCTCGGGGGTGCGCGCGGCCCAGCCTCCGGGCCACAGAGAGGGGGCGCCGAAGAACTTCGTCAGTGCCGCTGGCTTGCTGACCGGCGTCCAGACATCAGGACAGTTGCTGCTGTTCGTCGTCGTCGTCGTCGTCGTCGTCGTCGTCGTCGTCGTCGTCGTCGTGGTCGTCGTGGTCGTCGTGGCCGCCACCGCCGCCGCCGCCGCCGCCGCCGCCGCCGCCGCCGCCGCCGCCGCCGTCGTCGTCGTCGTCGTCGTCGTCGTCGTCGTCGTCGTCGTCGTCGTCGTCGTCGTCGCCGTCGTTCTCTTCCTCATTCTTCCGAAGCGGGTCCGCTTCGATGCATCGCCGCCATTTCCGATACCTCACGCTCCCCTGCTTCGGCGTTTGAGGATGAGCGTACACTGCTTGCTGCTCCGCCTTCTCGCATCTGGGCCTTCCGGCGAGCATTTCGCCACACTTCGTTGCGATTCGTTTCTTTTGGGCTCCAGCCTGTGTATCTCCCACGTCTGGCAGAACATCGGGAGGTACCCAGCGCCCCAGCCAGGCTAGGCGCATCTTGAAGTCCTTAGATGGCACGGGATGGCCCAGGACGGCTAAGGATACCCCTGGAGGTGCCAGACGTTTCTTCTCACACCCTAACAGAAGCATCAGTGCCAGTATTAGCATCCAGCAGCAGCAGCAGCCAGCAGCAGCCAGCAGCAGCCAGCAGCAGCCAGCAGCAGCCAGCAGCAGCCAGCAGCAGCCAGCAGCAGCAGCAGCAGCAGTCAAAATGGAGCGCATGCAGCCTTCTCGCGTCTGTGCCCCCTGGTGAACACGTGGCCGCACTTAGTTGCGATTCGTTTCCTTCGGGCTCCAGCGTGTGCATCTCCCACGTCTGGCAGAGCTTCAAGAGGCTTCCGGCGCCCCAGCCAGGCAAGTTCCTGGAAGTGCCTAGGTGGTGGCTCCCAATGTCCCAAGACTGGCAAGGATGCCCCAAGAGTTCGCAGGCGTGCCTTGACACACTCTGGCAGAAGCATCAGTGCCAGTAGCAGCATCCAGCAGCATCAGTCTGCAAGCAGCAAGCAGCAAGCAGCATGCAGCCTTCTCGCGTCTGGGCCCTCCCGCGACCATTTGGCCACACTTCGTTTCGGTTCGTTTCTTTCTGGCTCCAGCCTGTGCATCTCCCACGTCCGGCAGAGCTTCGGGAGGCACCCAGCGCCCCGGCAAGAGCAAGCACAAGTCAGCAACATTAGCAGCAAACGCAGCAGAAAGTTGAAAGCAAACAATGTCATGGAGCTTGTCGTGGCTGGTAGGCCGCGGGCCAGCCCTAGTCAGCTACAATGCTGGTATCAGCGCCTGCGAGAAAGGCGAGCAGTGGCAGTGGGCGCTGGCGTTGCTCAGCGAGATGAGGGAGGCGAAGCTGGAGCCTAACGGCGTCAGCTACAATGCCGGGATAAGCGCCTGCGAAAAGGGCGAGCAGTGGCAGCGGGCTTTGTCGTTGCTCCACGAGATGTTGGAGTCGAACTTGGAGCCCGACGTCATCCCTACAGTGGAATCCCATGCCAAGAGGCACCCTGAGTGCCTCCAGGGTGCCCTCGGTTTGTTACAATCATCAATGGACGTCCTGGGGTCTCGGGGTGGGATTTCCTGTAGAAGGTTTCTCGTGGTCGAGATCCTACTGTGCAGTACTGGGATCAGGGTGGCTGTGGAGATTCCGAGTGGCCAGGCCTCCCCTCGCCTGTGCCAGGGGTCTGGACGGCCCCAGAGGGCCTCAGATGACTCCGCAAGGCTCCGGGCTGGTCGTGACGGACTCCAGGACGAGTCCGCGCCGAGCTGGTCCGACGAGGTTCCGAGATGGCTACGCCCTTGTCGGCTCCCGAGACAGGCCCAAGATGGCTCCAGGACGGCTCAAGACCGCCCCACAAGAGCCCCGAGACCTGTCCGGACGGCCCCCAGACCACGAGGCGAACAGGGGGCCCGGGCGCCAAGATTGCCCTCAGAGGCACTCCAAGAGGAGGTGCCCAAGGGCGTCCCAGAAGGCCCTGACAGAGCCTCAAGCGGGGATCAAGGCATGGCGAGCCAGGGATCGCAGGCAGCCAGCAGCAGGGCCAGCATCAGCAGAGCCGTCAGGACAGGTCGCCACGAGCGGCGAACACGAGCACTCAGCAGCAGCAGGATGGGGGCCTCCTGGGGCCTGCTCGGGATCCTCTTTGGGCTCTCCTGGGCCGTTCTGGGCCCTCTTGGGGTCGTCTTGGGGTTTTCTTGGGCCGTTTTCGGGCCCTTATGGGGGCCTTTTGCGTCGTCTTTGTGCAATCTTCGGAGCCGCTTGGGGGCCGTTTTGGGCCTCTCTTGGTCCGAACTCGAAAGACGATCAGAGCTCACAGACAAATCAAAGCATCGGCCGAGACAGCAGCAGCATATGTAGTAGCAGCCAAGGAATGCACGCTTCATCAAGCATTAACAGCATCAAGCAGCAGCAGTCAGCAGCAGCAGAGCAGCCATCACCATCATCTTCATCATTATCATCATCATCATCTTCATCATTATCATCATCATCATCATCACCATCATCATCATCACCATCATCAGCATCAGCATCCTCATCATCAGCATCAGCATCATCATCACCATCATCATCATTGTCATCATCATCATCACCATCATCATCATCATCATCATCATCATCATCATCATCATCATCATCATCATTAGCATGAGTCGACGGCAACGAAGAGCAACAAACAGTATTGGGAAGCAATAGCAGCAAGCAGCAGCAAGCAGCAGCTAGCCAGCCAGAAATATCACACAACAGCAAGACTTGGCACGGAGAGACCAGCTGCCGTAACTAGGGCCAAGCAACCGCGGAGGTACGAGGAGGAGTCCTCCAGATCCATTCCAAGACCTTCCCTGGGAGGCCCCTCCGACGTCCATCCAGCCCATCAGCCGATTACGCTGCATTCTGACCCTTGCGTGCCCAGAGTCATCCGAGATACCGGCCTGATAGATTTGCATCGTGGCGACTTACCTGTTCCGAACCACGCAAGACGAGCAAGTTGCTTTTAGATTCAACGCACGGGTAGACACTTGTGAGCTACAGCGCTGGGATCAGCGCGTGCGAGAACGACGAGAAGTGGCAGCAGGCGTTGTCGCTGCTCCACGAGATGGGGATGGTAAAATTGGAGCGCGACGTCATCTCTACTACATTGCAGGGCCCAGTGCGTGCCAGAAGGGCGCAGGCCCCAATGCACCGAAACCGCCCCGGGCTGGCCCCGGGCCGCCCCAGGCCGCCCAGGCAGGCTCCAGGACATGTCGAGAGGGCCCCCAGAAGCCCCCAAGACGGCCCCGGAGAGCCCCGGCACGCTTAAAGATGGGCCCAAGACGCCCGAGATTCGCCCCAGACGGCCCAAGAGGCGTCCAAGACGCCCGAAGAGGCCTCCCAAGAGGCCTCCCAAGAGGGCCCCGAGCGACAGAAATCGTCGATTTCTATTGTGTTTTTCGATGTTTTCGGCCTCCTCGCCTCTTCGGCTTCCCGACGCTCCAAGACGGCCCAAGAAGTCCCCCCGACCGCTCCAAGACGGCCGAAGAGGACCCCAAGAGAGCCCCAAGACGGGCCAGGAGGGCCCCAAGACGGTCCCAAGACGCCCCAGGACGGCCCCAGGACGGCCCAGGAGGCGCCCAAGACGGCCCAAGAGGCACCCAAGACGGCCCCAGGAGCGGCCCAAGACGGCCCAAGACAGCCCAAGAGGCGCCGAGGCGGGCCTCAGACGGCCCCAAGACGGCCCAAGAGGCACCCAAGACGGCCCGAGAGGGCCCTAAGAGCCCCCCCGGGAGGCCCAAAAGAAGGCCGAAGAGGCTCCGAAACGGCCCCCACGAAGCCTTCAGTGGCTTCAGAATTCCCTCCAGGAGCGGGGGAGCGGACGAGAGGCGACAGGCATATCGCAGGCAAAAACGCCCCAAGAGATCCCCAAACGGCCCCCACGAAGCCCTAAGTGGCCTCAGAATTGCTTCCAGGAGGGGGGGAGCGGACGAGAGGCGACCGGCATATCGAAGGCACAAAAGAACAATGTTGGACGCTCCGAGGGCCTTCGATGTTTCTCTGTTGGGGAGAGTCGTCGTAGGATCGACGATTGCCGACCGAGGGCATGGAGAATCCAGCGAAAGAAGAGAAGAAGGTGGAAGAGGAGGAGGAGGAGGCGGAGGAGGAGGAGGAGGAGGGGGAGGAAGCAGCAGGACCTCCGAGCAGCAGGAGCAGCTGAGGAACACAGGAGAGCAGGAGGTCCTGGAGGGTGTGGAGAGCGCCTTCAACTGGCCATCGTGGCCAGAGACCCCTCGCCACGTCGAGCTGATGTCGTGGACGGAGTCCACAGGTCTGCCCTAGTCAGCTACAACGCTGGGATGAGTGCGGGCGAGAAATGTGGACAGTGGCAGCAAGTTCTGATGCTGCTCGGCGAGATGTGGAGGGGCAAATTAGAACCGAACGCAATCAGCTACAACATTGGGATCAAGGCGTGCGAGAAGAACCAGCAGTGGCAACATGCTTTGGCGCTGCTCAGCGAGATGTGGGAGTCGAATTTGCATCCCAGCGTCATATTCCACGAGGGTCTCCAGGAGCTTAGTCGTTCTTGGAAACGGCAGTGCTTTTTCCCTACCCAGGCTCTGCCTAGAAGGGTTCTTACTCTCTGGGCTTACAGGGGCGGGCAGTGGACAGCGCCCCGGGCGGTTCCCCCAGTATCCGCCCCGCGGTTCCCCCAGTCACGTCCCCTTAGCTTAGCGTTGCTTATCTCATCTTAGCTTAGCCTAGCTTAGCTTAGCTTAGCTTAGCCTAGCCTAGCTTAGCTTAGCCTAGCCTAGCTTAGCTTAGCTTAGCTTAGCTGAGCCTAGCCTAGCTTAGCTTAGCTTAGCATATCTTAGCTCAGCTTAGCTTAGCTTAACGCAGCGCAGCATTAGCATACCATAGCATATCATAGTATAGCATATCATGTCATGACATAACACATCATAGCATAGCATAACGCAGCATATCATATCATATCATACTTTAGCTTATCATAGCACAGCGCAGCACAGCATAACATATCATAGCTTAGCACAGCATAGCATAGCATCGCATAGCGCAGCATGTCATATCATAGCATAGCATAGCGCAGCATAGCATCGCATAGCGCAGCATATCATATCATATCATAGATCATAGCATAGTATAGCGCAGTACAGCATATCATAGGTAGTATATGTGAATGCAGTTGTAGATGTAGATGTAGATGCAGATGTAAGGAGCAGATGTAGATTTAGGTGCAGTGTGTTGCAGAGATCATTGTAGATGTAGATGCTGATGTTAGTATAGTTGTAGGTGTATCTGTATATGTAGATGTAGATGCATGTGTGCATGTATATGTAGCTGTAGGTGTAGATGTGGATGTAGGTCTAGATGTAGATGTAGGCATTCAGCTGTACTACTACTACTACTACTACTACTACTACTACTACTACTACTACTACTACTACGACGACGACGACGACTACTACTACTACGACTACTACTATTACCACTACTACTACTACTACTACTACTACTACTACTACTACTACTACTACTACTACTACTACTACTACGACTACTACTACTACTACTACTACTACTACTACTACTACTACTACTACTACTACTACTACTACTACTACTACTACTACTACTACTACTACTACTACTACTACTACTACTACTACTACTACTACTACTACTACTACTACTACTACTACTACTACTACTACTACTACTACTACTACTACTACTACTACTACTACTACTACTACTACTACTACTACTACTACTACTACTACTACTACTACTACTACTACTACTACTACTACTACTACTACTACTACTACTACTACTACTACTACTACTACTACTACTACTACTACTACTACTACTACCGCTACTGCTACAACTGCGACGATGAGGGGAAGGAGGAGGACGGCGTTTACCGTTACTTACTAATATTGCTCTCCTCGGGGCTCCAACTCCCAGGTAGGGTCGCTCTGGGATAATTTTGACCGTTTCCAGAAATCTTGATATTGAGAATGAAAATGACAAAACAACGGCTCGGCTAACCCGACGTTAAATGGCCCTGGGATTGGAACTTGAGCCGGAATCGGAAACAAAACGAAAACGGCGCTGGAACCAGAAATCAAAAAAGGCAAAGCGAACACGGGGAAAGATTGCCTTATCGCTTCAGAGAACCACCAAGCCAGGAGGCGTCCACGACGGCCAACAGTCGCCCAGACGCTTCGCAACGCGCCGAGATGACGCAGCCTGCCTCAAGCGGCCCCGTCCTGGTTCCGCGCAGCGCCCCTCCCCCCCGGGGGGCGTGACAGAGATCCCCGCACGTCAGAGGTGCGCTGGCAAGCCGGTGAAGCAGTCCGCTGCGGTTGAGGCTGGCTGAGGGCAGGCCCCGCGGCCGCCTCCAGCGATGCAGTACTCTTCGGCGGCTCTGCTGCGGAACAGCGGAGCGTCGGGCAGAGACGGCGAGGACGACGAGGGGGGGGGCGGAGGACGACGAGGACGACGGCGACGACGAGGACGACGAGGACGACGAGGACGCAGAGACGACGAGGAGGGCGACGAGGACGACGACGACGAGGACGCGAGGACGACGAGGACGACGAGACGACGACGACGAGGACGACGAGGACGACGAGGACGACGAGGACGACGAGGCAGAGAGGCCAACAATCAGGTCAGGTCAGGCCTGTCCCTGCATGCCCACAGAGGGGTGGCCACTGGTAACACAGCGCGGCTGCGTGGACTGCGCGCAAAGTCGTGCGCCAGGCGGAGCACTGGTCACTGGTGGTCAGTGGGCGTTGTCGTTCGAACAACCGCGAAACCACAATAATCTATCATTGCAGGGTTCCGTCGGATTCCGTCAGTTTTCATGCATGTTCCGGAGTTCTGCTCTTCTCTGCTTTGGATGGCTACGGGACGGGCCCCAGAGGCTTCAAAGAGGGCCGGGGAAAGCTTGCGAGAGCCCCTAGGAGAGCCCGATACACTTCCACCATAGTCCAAGATGGGCCTGGCTCTCCTCAAAGATGGCCTCAAGGCGGCTCCAAGATGGTTCAAGGCCGCCCCAAGATGGCCCCCAAGGTCTTCCAAACTGCTCCCAGGCACCCGAAAGGGCGCCGCGAGGTCCCAAGGTGCCCCAAGACGACCCCAAGAGTTTTTACATGAGGGATGAGGGCCCGAGGGACAATGAGACCCCGTGATAGCTTCAAGCAAACCCGAGTGGACTTGATAGGACGCGCCGCCGATCGCATCACGCAAGCAGCAGAGCCAGCAGCAGCAGCAGCAGCAGCAGCAGCAGCAGCAGCAGCAGCAGCAGCAGCAGAGTCAGCGGCAGCGGCGGAGAGAAGCGGGCGTCAGCAATCTGCAGCGGGAAGCCCAGGAGAGCCCCGCCAGGCCCCCAGCGAAGTCTGACACTGCGCCCAGGGCCCCACATGTGGGCCCCAGAATGTGGCACAAGCCGCCGATTGCAGCACGTAAGCAGCAGCGCAAGCACCAGCAGCAGCAGCAGCAGCAGCAGCAGCAGCAGCAGCAGCAGCAGCAGCAGCAGCAGCCATGCCTCCAGTTGTAGCCAAGGGAGGCAGTAGCAGGAATCAGCGGAGAGCCATGTAAGGCCCCCAGGGCCCCCAGAAAGTCCATCGCCTTGCCCCTGGAGGCTTCAAATGTGGAGGCGACGGGGAGACCGACAGGTCTTGAACATATGTCCTGGACGGCTGCACGCAGCACGAGGCAAGGAGCAGCAGCGGTAGCACGCAGCAACAGGAAGCAGAGGCAGGCAGCAGCAGCCTGCAGCATCACGCAGCAAGCACATTTTGCACTCGGCAACAAACCAAGCAGCAGCGTCAGCGGGAAGCATCGGCAGCTGTATGTAGCAGCCGTCGCCATCATCTGCAGTACCCATCAGCACGCAGTAATCAGTCAGCGTCAATCAGCGTCAAGTAGCAGCACGCAGCAACCCCCAGTCGCATCAAGCAGCAGCACGCACCAGCAAACACCAGTCCACAGCGGTGGGAAGCAGCACACGGCAGACACCAGAAAGTGGCAGCGAGAAGCTAGCAACAGCCAGCGGCAGCGAGCGAGAACAGGCTTTTGTCAACGGCAGTCCGCGGGTCATCCCTGGTCTCCTCTTGCAGTGCTGTGCGCAGTGCGAGCTGGAAGGTCGCCAAGATCAGATGGGCAAACATTGGCCAAGCGGGCCGGCGCGCCCCCCGTGCGCCCCGAGGGCGCCCCGATCGGCCCCAGCGGAGCTCTCGGAGCATGGCCCGACAGTCCCAGGAGGCTCCAAGAGGACTCCGGCAGGATGGGTTCGCGCCTCCTCGCAGGGCTACCAGAATGCCCAGCACCGTGCGGCAGCGCGCAGCCACGGAGCAGCAGCGAGCACCCACAGCTCGCAGCATCGGTAAGCAGACGAAGCATGCTGCGGCAAGCGGTCAGGCCACCAGGCTGAACAGTGTCGCACGCAGGACTGCAGGCAAGCAATTAGGCAGACACGCGATCCTCACCCTTGCGTGCGTTCGGTACATTTTCATGGCCACCAGGAGGATACCGATCCGGTCAGTCCGCTTGCCGTGGATTCGTTCAGCGGGACCACCCTCGTCTCCAGGATCCCTGCTCCACGATCCTTTCACCAGCGGCAGGCTGCGTTTGCAAGCAGAAGTAGCGAGAGGCAGTACCCTGTGTCACCAGGCGGCGCTATCGAACAGCCGCACGCACCACGGAGCATGCAGCAGCGGCATCACACAGTAATTGACAATCAAAATCACACTGCGGCCAGAAGCAGCAGCACCATGCATCATCGTTCTTCAGCAACGGCCATCATCAACGGCCCCATGCTATCGCCAACAGTGAGCAGCAGCACCGCGCAGTAGAAGCACGTGGCAGTGGCAGGCATCATCAGCAGCAGTACGCAGCCCCAGAATGCACAGCAGTACGCAACAGCAGACAAGCAGCACCAAGCACCAAGCAGTAGCACGCAGCAGCACCAGCCGCCGTTACCAGCAGCACACGCTAGCAAACACGAGCGAGTCGCATCAATCAGCAGCAAATGGCAGCGAATAACAACACGTACTAGCAAGTATTTCTAAGCAGCAGCAAGCGGCAGTAAGCGGCAGCGAATGGACGAGAAAGTGATGATGCAAGCAACCCTTGAAGCAGGCGAGCAGGCCTTGAGCCGTCATGCCACTAGGCTAGCAACATCGCAAGCAGAAATGCAGGCAAGCAGTCAAGCAGATAAGCGGTGGTCGCCCATGCATGCGAGTAAGTGCTCGTTGCCGCTGGCATCGATCCATCCGCTTGCCGTGGATTCGCTCCACGGGTCCACCCTACTTTCAGCTACAAGGCTGCGCTCGGCGCGTGCGAGACAGGCGGACAGTGGCAGTGTGCGCTGTGGCTGCTTGATGGAACGCGTGAGGCGGGGTTGAAGCCCCACGTCCTCTCTTCCATAATGCAGGGTGCAGCGCAAGACCGAAAGTGCAAGCAGCGCACATGGGCCCCCCTGGCTCCGGGGCCCAACAGGCTCCCGAGCGATTCTTTCCCTCCACCCTCCTGCCTCCTCCTCGTGCTCCTTCTCTCCTCCCTCCTCCCTCCTCCCTCCTCCCTCCTCCCTACTCCTCCCTCCTCCCTCCCCTCTCCTCCTCCCCTTCCCTTCCCTTCCCCCCTCTCCTCCCCTTTCCTCCCCTGGGCGGCGCGCTGCAGGGGCCCTCCGGGCGCCACAGTGCTTCACGGGGAGCCCCCCAGAGGCTTCCAAGACGCCCACTGCTGAGAGGCCCTCTGGAGGAGGCCCGCGGCCTTCAGACACCTTCACGGGGCCTCAGGTGTTAGAGTAGGAGATCGACTGCAGGATTGATCTGCCTGAGATTTTTCCCTGGGCTGAAGCCCAGGGTTTTCTTCTCGTAGGTAAACCTGTCCCCGGTGCCAAGTTCGAAGAGGGCCAGCGGATGCTTTTCCTAATAAACCACTAGGTCGAAGAGGGCCGCGCGGATCAAGATTTGAGGATGTCCCGAGCCAAACGCCTTTTTCCCGGAAAGGGCTCGGGCCCAGGGTTCTCTTTTAGTGGGTAAACCTGTCCCCCGGTGCCAACTTGAAGGAGGCCGGCGAATTTTTTCCCTGATAAATATCGAGGTCGAAGGAGGCCGGCGAATTAAAATTTGAGGATGTCTCGAGCGAAACGCTTGTTTTTGAAATCCCGATCGATAAATCACAGGGTGCGGGCCACTTTTTCGTGTGTTGAGGATGTCTCGAGCGAAACGCTTGCTCCGCAGAGTTTGCCGAGGATGTCTCGAGCGAAACGCTTGTTTTGCAGAGCCGACCGCGACGCGGAAAAGCGCCCCGCGCGAAGGAATTTCGATGATGTTTCGACTAATTTGTTTGTTTTTGTACGATTTCCTGGAATTTTGGCAGGATGTCTCGAGCGAAATGCACGACCCCACCCTAGCACGACCATACCCCAGCACGACCACACCCCAGCACGACCAGACCCCAGCACGACCCCACCCCAGCACGACCCCACCCCAGCACGACCATACCCCAGCACGACCACACCCCAGCACGACCCGACCCCAGCACGACCCTACCCCAGCAAGACCACACCCCAGCACGACCACACCCCAGCACGACCTCACCACAGCACGACCACGCCCCAGCACGACCACGCCCCAGCACGACCACGCCCCAGCACGACCACGCCCCAGCACGACCACCCCCCAGCACGACCACCCCCCCAGCACGACCACCCCCCAGCACGACCACCCCCCAGCACGACCACACCCCAGCACGACCACTCCCCAGCACGACCACACCCCAGCACGACCACACCCCAGCACGACCACACCCCAGCACGACCACGACCCCAGCACGACCCGATCGATAAATCACAGGGTGCGGAGCACCCCAGCACGAACCCACCCCAGCACGACCCCACCCCAGCACGACCCCACCCAGCACGACCACACCCCAGCACGACCACACCCCAGCACGACCACTCCCCAGCACGACCCCACCCCAGCACGACCCCACCCCACGACCACACCCCAGCACGACCCCACCCCAGCACGATCACACCCCAGCACGACCCCACCCCAGCAAGACCACACCCCAGCACGACCGCACCCCAGCACGACCTTACCACAGCACGACCACACCCCAGCACGACCACGCCCCAGCACGACCACGCCCCAGCACGACCACGCCCCAGCACGACCACGCCCCAGCACGACCACGCCCCAGCACGACCACGACACACCCCCCCAGCACGACCACCCCCCCAGCACGACCACCCCCCAGCACGACCACCCCCCAGCACGACCACACCCCAGCACGACCACTCCCCAGCACGACCACACCGCCTTGGTTGAGTGGTTGCCTGTCGTCGTGGAATGTTTCGTGGGGTGTCTCGTGGAATGTTTCGCGGGGTGTCTCGTGAAATGTTTCGTGAGGTGTCTCGTGGAATGTTTCGTGAGGTGTCTCGTGGGCTGTTTCGTGAGGTGTCTCGTGGGATGTTTCGTGAGGTGTTGCCCAGTTGGGTATCATGAAAACGTGTCCATGCTCCACATGTCTATATCCCTTTCCGGGTTCGTGGGTCCATCATGTTTTGAAATTCCGACTGATAGAATACAGGGTGAAGTAAGCATTTTCGTTTGTCGCGGATGTCTCGAGCGAAACGCTTGTTTTGCATAATTAGTCGAGGATTTCTCGAGCGAAACGTTTATTTTGTACTATGGATCGTTCCTCTCCTGGGGACTAGAACTCAGAGGATGTCTCAGGTGAAATGCTTGTTTTCACGTACCCAGGTCTTGATGATGTCTCGAGCGAGACGCTTGGTTTCACGCCTCCAGGTTGCCCAGGCAGATGTCTAGCATCAGGATTTGCAGAGGCTGTCTCGAGCGAGACGCTTGTTTTCACACGTCCAGGTCGTCCACGCAGTTGTCTAGCATAAGGATTTGTTAAGAATTTGTTGAGGATGTCTTGAGAGAGACGCTTGTTTTCGCGTGTCCAGGTCGCCCATGTGGATGTCTAGCATGAGGATGTGTTGAGGATGTGTTGAGCGACACGCTTGTTTTCACGTGTCCAGGTCGCCCAGGCGGATGTCTAACATGCGAATTTGTTGAGGATGTCTCAAGAGAGACGCTTGTTTTCACGTGTCCAGGTCGCAAAGGCGGATGTCTAGCATGAGGATGTGTTGAGAAGGTCTCGAGGGAAAGGCTTGTTTTCACGTGCCCAGGTCGCCCAGGTGGATGTCTAACATGAAGAGGTGTTGAGAATGTCTCGAGCGAACCGCTCGTTTTCGCGTGTCCAGGTCGCCAAGGCGGATGTCTAGCATGAGGATGTGTTGAGGATGTGTTGAGCGAAACGCTTGGCTCCACGTGTCTAGGTCGTCCAGGCGGATGTCTAACATGAAGATGTTCGGAGGATGTCTTGAGCGAAACGCTTGTCGCAGTAGAGTGCGTCGCAGTCCAATCCCGCCCGTCCGTGGGGCGTCCCCTGGCGCCCTGGCGCGCTCCCTGGCGCGTCCCTTGCGACGTTCAGGCGTGACGTGCCCTGGCACGTCCCCTAGCACGTCACTCGGCGTGGCACGTTCCTTGGCTCGTCCTCGGTCGCGTTTCCTTGCTCGTCCCCAGGCGTTTCCTCTGCCTGTTCCGTGGAGGGCCCCTTGCAACGTCCCTTGGCATGACGTCCTCTGGCCGCCACATGGCACGCGCTTTGGCACGTCACGTGGCAGGTCGCTGACACGCCCAGGGCACGTCCCCTGATGCATCCCCTGACACGTCCCCTGGCGCATCCCCTATTGCGCCTCTGGCACATCCTGTGGCGCGTCCGTGAGCCTGTGCCCCGCGTCGTGTCGTTCCGTTTTGGAGCTAAGTCGGATTTTGAGGTCGAGTTGATTGAACGTCCTCCACGTTTCCATTTCATTTAGCTCTGGGGCGGTTACTATGTGCTCAGACAGCTCAAACTCAAGATCGAGAGCAGTTCGGTCAGGACTCGACTGCCATGGAGGACTCGATCCACAACGCTATAGAGCACAATCGCGGCATGGCACATCCCAGTTCAGCACGGCACAGCACAGCACAGCAAAGTCCTCTGCACGGTACACCGAGATCGATACATTCAGCATTGCAATTGCTTCGCCCAATCAGGTGTCTCGAAAACGTTGCCATGCCTCACATCTCCATCTCCTTTTCCGGGTTCGTGGGTCGATCATGTTTCCGTCGAGTCTACGACAAACAACCGCAGAATGCTCCGAAGATCTAGGGGGCATTCTACGTGTTTTCCCCAAATCTTGAGTTGGGTTCTTGTTTTCCCAGAACACCCTCTCCTCCTCCTCCTCCTCCTCCTTTTCCTCCCCTTCCTGCTCCTCCTCCTCCTCCTCCTCCTCCTCCTCCTCCTCTTCCTCCCACCCCGCCAGAGCGAGGAGGGTACTGGATGACCATACTATGTACAGGGTTTCGTGCCCCTCCTAGCCCTCCAGGGAGGCCCCGCCTGAGCGAAAAGGGTATCGGATAACTGTACTATTTACAAGGTTTCGTGCACCTCCCACCCCTCCAATGAGGCCCCGCCAGAGCGAGGATGGTATCGGGTAGTCAAACTATTTACAAGGTTTCGTGCCCCTTCCAGCCCTCCAGGGAGGCCCCTCCTGAGCGAGGAGGGTATCTGGTAGCCAAACTATTTACAAGGTTTCGTGCACCTCCCACCCCTCCAGTGAGGCCCCGCCAGAGCGAGGATGGTATCGGGTAGCCAAACTATTTACAAGGTTTCGTGCCCCTCCCAGCCCTCCAGGGAGGCCCCTCCTGAGCGAGGAGGGTATCGGGTAGCCAAACTACAAGGTTTCGTGCACCTCCCACCCCTCCAGTGAGGCCCCGCCAGAGCGAGGAGGGTATCGGGTAGCCATACTTTTTACACGGTTTCGTGCCTGTCCCGCTCCTCGAGGGAGGCCCCGCGAGAGCGCCATCGATGCCCTTGACAGGCCCCGAGCGCGCCCACAGAGGCCCCACCACGCTGCTCAGTTAGACCCCACTGTGGCATCCCTCGGTGGGGAACTCCGATAGCACAACTCGTAGATCCGATTGAACAATTCAGTTTGGGGTAAATCAATTTTGTAGTCGATCCCCTATTCAAGGTGTGCTCCCAACGCCCCAGAGGGATGACAGAGCACCCCAGGGATCGTCTTCGCCGACATTGGCGCGTAAGCTGTTCGCGGAAGGTCGCGCGTAAGCGCCTTCGCTTCCAGCGTAGCGTGCCGCGCTGACGGCCCGCGTAAACCACCGCGTCAGGCCGCTAGGTCATCGCGCGTCAGATCCATGTTTGATCGTCGCCCCGTAGATCTATGGAGCATTCTCCGTGTTTTTTCACAGACTCGATTGAAACATGAATTTTGAGGTTCATCAGTTTTGGGGTCGATCCCCTGCTCGAGGTGTGCCCCCAGAGC